GTACTGGCAATCCTCTTTGAGGATGCATTACAGTTTTATCTAAGTTATCATTGACAATATCTCAACCCAAGTGGTATAACCTAACCCATCATATTGAAGTCATGCGTGATTTTACCAGACAATTTGGAATTGTTCCTAATGGATTTCCAAGGTAATCTGGGTTGGCTACCCACAAGCAAAGACTATTTAGAGACAGTCATCCCAGACAAGAAGTGACCTTGAAGATTTCTTAACATTTCTGAGCAATATCATTATTTGGTTAAACAACAAGGACAAACACTGAAAGTATGTGGAAGAAATACTTCAGATAAATAGCAATGATAAGTTACTAGTGATAACTGCATTTAATAACATCTTGATCTAAGAAGCTTAAAGCAGTAATATTAACCATTATAATGCTCAATGGAGAGATGGAAGCTAATGCAATCAAGCGCATGCTCTTTGGTTACAAGGAAGAATAATGACTTGGGTATCTAAAAGTCTAAGTTTTATAGAGGATCTGTTTCATCCTTCTTTAAACCACACCCTTTAGTACTGCCGGTGGCAAACTGGATTGATAGATTTTAATCTTAGCTTATTTTATTTCCCCTAATGCCAGGAACAGGACGATGATCCCGAGCAGACTTTAGAGCGAAATTAGCAGGCATTCAAAATTTGCATATAATTCAATTCAGTTTGCCAAATACTTACGAGGCACAAAAAAGAAAAGTATACAAAAACCAATAAGCCTAGGTCCCTGAGCTGTGTGAAGTGAAGAAAGGAATCACAAGAAGCCTTGACGACACTGACTACTGTTGTGTAACCACTGTCCCCATCCTCGTTTTCTTGTGGACCAACTACACCTGGAGAGTGACAGAAAACAAGGACACTTAAGGAAACTCAGAACACAGGTAAATACCAATGGGATAAAATACTCTGCTTGCTAGATTTATTCATTGAATAAAAAATATCTGAGTACCCACAGGGTACCAAGCCCTGTTTTACTAGGGATACAGCAGTCGTCAAGACAAAGTCTTTGCTCTCATGAGGACTCTAGCAGAGGAACTGCTTACTGTATGGCAAGGACTAAGCGAAGTGACTCACACTAATCCTTGAAAACCAAATAAATATCTGCAAATGATTAAAAACTATATCTAGTAAACTGTATATTTGAGAGAACAAGAATAGCAACTTTATTTTGTTAGGAATGAAATGCAGCTGAATTTGAAGCTGGGAAGCAGAAGCAGGCACAGAAAGATGAATATGCTCCAATTCCCAGAGAAGGGGTGATGGAAGAAAGATAGCTTGACACCAAAGCCTCACATGATTTCTCCTCTAACAATGCTCAAGCAAGCTTAAAATTGTCAGCTATAAAATAAAGTGACTCAGAATTCTTTTTCGGATGCTCCAATTTCTACAGAACTATGATTATTTTCTTAGCCACATGTGTCACAGAGCCCTTACTCAATCATGTCAGCCAGGCAGCTGCCCACAATTACCCCGGGCCTCCTATCAAGGCCACATTCTGAGTCAGACATGAAAAGAACTCCCTGATATGCTGTAAAAGTATGTTAATAACCTCATGGAACACATCTATACATGTATACATGGTGCATACAGATTCATATGTACACTTACATACATGCATGTATGAATGTATGTGCTTATGGATGGGTGTATGTAAGTATATATGTGTATAAATAAGTAGGTAGGCAGGTATTTCTTCCCTGGCTGAACAAAGGAGCAGAGAATTAGGTCACAGTTCAAAACCTATTTGACCATTTCCTCTGGGGTGAATCATACTTGCCTACATAAATAGAGGCTTTTTCCCACTGGGTAGAGACAGAAGAAAAGAAGCAATAGCCCTATAACACACTATATAGGTGATATGTCTATACATATTCTCCCCTGCCCCCATGACAAACTGCCTTCTTTATACCTTTTGAGTTTGCCTAAAGGTCTGTTTAGTTTTTTCCGTAAAATAAAAGACACGTTTTTCATTTTCATCAATAACTTTATTGATTTGGATATTTTGAGTATGTCGGCTATCTCCTGCTATTGGTTTATAATGGGTAGAGGCCAGGGGTGCTGCTAAACATCTTCCAATGCATAAGACAGCTCCACAGCAAAGAATTATTTGGCCAAAATGTCAATATGCCAAGAAACTTTGCAAACTCCCTTCAACACATTCGATCAGTTACAGCACCTTCTCCATACACTGCACAAATCTTTTGTTGCATCTCAGTTGTGTTTTTGCCTTTGTTGAAGTAATAAAGCATAATACACTGAAAATGTTGCATATTTTCTTCTATATTCAATATTAAAATGGCTACACCAAAATTCACCAGTTTTGATGTTTTTTAAAAAATGCACGCTGATATGACAGCTGTCACAATACAACCTAACAAAAGTGTTTCAAATGAAGTTTAAGACAACTAAGAACTACTAGAGCCATTGTATGGAAAAAACTAAATGAACTTTTTGGCCAACCTAATAAATAAAAGCCTTTCTAGTCTATAGGCTTGAAACATATCAAATATAATATTTTTAAAAATTGGTTCCCTAAGCTAGATACTGAAAAGTACATATTGTAGGACTTCATTTACAATAAGCACACACAATAAAACCTGACAAATTAATTGATCCTCTTGGAAGTCAATTTCCCCAAGGGGAAGTCAGTTACCCTTCGTGCAGGGACAGTGGCACAAGCACTAGTAACGTCCTTCTTATTGGTCCGGGTACATGGGAGTGTGCCCTTTGCCAAGAACCAGTAAGGTATATACTTATGTGTACTCTCCTGCATGTATATTATACTTCAGTAGAAAGTAGTTTTAAAATTCAGCTTCCTAATAACCTATGCCTTGTCACCTTCCTGTTCTCTTCCTGAGACATTACCCAGAAATTACTCAGAGCCATGGAATTTTCTCTAGCAAAAAATATAAATGGATTAATTCTACAACCCTTATTAGTCTTTTCTAATTATATAACTGATCAAAAAGTTTTATAGGTTGGGAGTTTTATAAGTTCACTTTTAAATCAATTATTAGAAAAAAAAGTTAAATTATAAGTAGAGGTGTGCTTCTTACCAAACACCCAGATTAGTAAATCCTTTACACATGGGGACAGGGGAGAAAACCTCATCACTGTATACTTTTAAAAAATATACTTTTAAATCCTACACTTTTGTTATCACAAGACTTGAGTCAAAATCTATTTTTATCTTTGTATATTCTCTTCACTCAACTTGAAAATGGTAAATTAAAATGATATTAATAAAGGAGAGAAATCGCAACAAGCTAAGGAACTTGGGAGCAAGTAAATCTCCAGCAATACAACTTAAGAGCACCCTGCCCTCCTCTCTTTCATGCTGTTCCTCACCTCCCTCCTGCCTGACTTAAGCACACCTGTACTACTTTCTTCCCTGCAGAAAAGGGCTACTAAAGTGCTTATAAAAAGCACTGGACCAAAGTCTAACCAGGTGTCTCACATGATAGCAGGATGATTCTATGTGAAAATGTAATCAAGCAATAGTTTGTTGGGTTTTTTTTCCCTTCAGTAGAAAGGGTGATCTTAAAGGAGCTTTTGAATTTACATATTGAAGAGTTGGGATGTTTCAGTAACAGAATGTTTAAATACTTAATGTAAAACAGCTTTTTTTTCCTCCCTACTTGTTTGAGGATTAGTTCAAAAAAAATCCTTTAAAAACATATATAGTGATGGCTGAGTGCTATAAGCTACAAATGACAAATGTCTCTTTGTAGACACTATATTTTTAATGCAGTTTTCAGTCACTCTCTTCCCCTCTGTCCTGCTCTTACTATGAAGCTTAAAGCTTGGGGAAGAGTCCCAACAACGTTAAGCACTGAGCAGGAAGGCTGATACACAGCTACTTATAGATATAGAGCTAATTCTGAAGCCAGATCTTGGGGTCCTCCCATTAGTTTGCAAGTACGGAATTCCTCCCCCCTTCCAGCTCTCCACTATGCACTATAGCAGATAACTATGTAACCTGTCAAACTTCATTTTCTTTAAGACTAAAACAGGTACAATAGTGTCCATAATTTATAGTTTGGTTGCAAGACTTAAGTGACATAATGCACAAGAAGCAATCAACACTGCCAGGCACATAGTACATGGGCAATGACTTGTAACTATGTTTGCAGTAATAAAAACTTTTCGACCAAAAGATGACTTTACAATATCACTTGACAAATACAGAGTTTACACACGCTAATACTCTGCCAAAAAGAAAAATTATCTCTTAACAGTAAGTCAAGTTAAATGTGTGTAAAAAGGCTTTGAATGGAGCGTGGCTCCTTGCCAGATGACTTTCAGTCTCTGAATTCAGAACAAATATATTATTATAAACAGGTCCACAAAAGACCATGGACTTCGGAGAGAAATATTACAAGTCACTTACACTCTCTGAGCCTCAATTTCCTTACCGATAAAATGGGAACCATGCCCACATCATCAGGTAATACTCAGGTTTCCAATGTTATTTGCAAAAGGCCTAACAGTATCTTGAACATTAGTAAGTAATCACTTTAAAGTAGATGGAATAAGAGAATTCATCAGAGGGTTTATTCAAAGCTGGAAAACTTTTAAGAAAAAAATTTCCATCCTCTGTACTGCATTTTCCCCTCCTTTGTACCATTCTTACACTTTGCCTTGTGCTCTAATCAGTTGTCCTTCTCCTAAGGCTACACAGGTTGGTTTGATTTTGTTTATCTCCATGGCTTCTTCCAGCCCTACATCACCCTCCAAGAAACTACCAGTGGCTTGTCCAAAGACAGTAACAAAATGATCCTTGAAAAGTCGAACTACAGGAGACTTTTACTCTAAATTAGCCTGAGGAATGTGGGATTCTCCTTCAGAAAAAGGAAGAGAACAGAAATGTTCCTAGACTACAAATTAATTTTTTAACAACAGGAGAAATTTCAGAAACAATTATTTTGTTTAGCTTACTTCATTTCCTACTTTCTGCTAAGATAAGAGTGACATCTGAGAACAAGTCTTACCTATTTGCACCATTTCTTCATTACCAGCCTGGAAAGGTGGGGGGAAAGAAAGAAAAAGAAACAGTTACTGGGTTTCATCTTATCACTTTGTGTGTTTTATTTCTACCATTAATGCTTTTCAGGAGCTAGCTAATCAGGAGATGTTGGGAGACCGGGATTGGTGCCTTTTAAAGGCTGCACCTGGATTTGTAGAAGGTTCTTGCACAGTGAGCAAGAGACAATTCAGTAACAATTCCGAGCAGAGAATTGTTTTCCTGTTTTTATTTTAACTAAACATTTATGAAGTTAGCAAAATTAAATACTGGCACTCAATATTCTTCTGAGAACTCCAGATATTGGGTAGGATCAGAAAAGTCTCTATATTACACGTGCGAAAAGAAGCCTTAAAGGGGGGCCTGACTTATCAAATTCGAAGTCAAAAATGAACAATTCTATGCTTTTTACCCTATGTACAGGCAGACCAGAGAAGCTACAAAAATTCACATAAGTGTTCTATACCCAAAGCCCCACCAACCCTGTGCTGATGTGAATTACTACAAACGGCTGGGCTCGTGCAGCTGAGCCTTCTTAAGGACTCTTCTGAGAGCTGAGAGCATCGGGCTTCACCTTGAGTTTCGGAAGGGTGGGGGCTGGGCCAAAAAAAGAAACAGAGCTGCACTCTGCTTTAAAGAGGAGGAGCTGTGCAGAGGGGGAGGGGAGAAAAGCCGCCGGCGCCTCCAGCCTGTGCCCAGGAAAATGCAGGGCAGGAAACGTCCCCAGTCCCCCTCCCCAACTGTCAAATCCCAGCCCCGCCGTAGTCCTCCCAGGACACGTGTCTACTGGATCGCTCCCTGTCCGACTCAAGGACTTCCTGAAACCCCCGCCTCCGGCTGCCCGAAAAAGCTGTGAGTCAGTGAGGAGAGAAAAGCCCCGCGAAGCTGACTCCAGCCGCAGCAACCAGAGCGCTGGGATCCTGGTCCCAGCGTCCAGAACTTCATTCAAGCGCCCAGACCGCCCTCCGCAAAGGGGAAACCCAGATGGCCCGGCGAGGATGCGAATGGGCTGCAGTTTGTCACCAGGAACTGTTACGAGTGCCGCGAAGTGGTGGAGCCCTAGGTGTGACAAGCCGGGGCTCCCGGAGTGCCAGTCCAAACCTCCCGTGCCATTCAACCCCCCACCCCCAAAACGCCCCACGCGCTGCGCCCAGCCCTCAGAACTTCGTTCTTGAATGCACAAGATAACGGGGAAGGGTGGGAGGGGGAGGAGGAAAGAGAGGAGGGGAAAGAGGGGAGGAACTTTTTCGGGAAAAGGTTGGGTTTGAGTTTTTTATTATTATTTTCCACTTACTTGTCCATCAGCTGAAGTCCTAACCTGTACCAGAGCGGCTGCTATCAACCAAAGTGACAGGAGAACCATCACGAGTCGAGTTCACTTTTCAACTACTGGGCAAAGCAAGTGCCCAGAGCACACCCCCCCAAAATAAGTTTCTTTTTTTAAAAAATTAAAAATGAAAAAAATGCAGAATTAAAAAAAAAAAAAAACACGGATCTTCTGTGCTTTGCTTCAGTGGAAATGAAATTTGAGCTCTGAGACTGGCCCCCTCTGCTCTGCAGTTCTTTCCACTTCACCTTCTCACCCCGTCCTCCCAAACGGAGTGAGCAGGAGCGAGAAGGTGCTGCGAGCCCGGCACGGGCTGAGCCGGGAGAGGGGGAAGGGACTGGGGCTTCCACTATCTCTGCCCACAGCGGCTTTTTCTAGGCTTTTCGAGCACCATTGGTCCCTAAGGTTAGCGCGGAGAATGCTTGGGTCCCCTGGAGTACAGCAGGGGGAAGTATTAGCGAGAGAGACGAGCGAGCGGGAGCAGGAGAAAGAGGCAGGGAGAGGGCGACTCCGCCGCGCACACAGAGGTGGGGGCGGGAGGAGCCGAAGGGGAGGAGGAGGAGGCAGGCGGAGGAGGTGGGAGGAGTGGGCCGCACGCCGGCTCCGGCGGCTGGCGAAGCGGCTGTCTGCTCGCGGCGGGCGACCCGCAGGGTGCTAATAAGGAGGCCGGAGCCCCCCGGGCGGCCCCTCCCGCCGAGGCGCCCACGTCACGCGGGGCCGGGGCCCGCGCCCCCTGCCTGCGCCCGCGGCGGCCCGCGCAGGAGGACGGGGAGGAGAGGGGAGGACCAAGCGGGCCGGCGGCTGGCCGCGGGCAAGGTCGGGGTTTGAAACTGCTCCGGGGCTTGGGTGGTCCGGGCTCGACCCTCCACCCCCGGATCCTCTCCTGCCCCGCGAGGTGGGCGAGAGGAGGCGGCGGTCTGGGCAAGCCGGGGGTCCCGACTGGCGGGACAGGCGTTGAGTTAATTATAGGAAGAGGAAGGGTCCAAGGACGGTCCTGGGCTTTAGGAAATTCACCTCTTCCAGCCGCCCCCGTGCTCGCAGCCGGGGAAAAGTGTCACCGGAGGGTACCCCTGGAACTTCCAGGTCTTCGGGGTGCGGTTATCTCCCCTCCAGACACCAGTCGCCTCCCCCATTTGGTGGGGGGTGGTCGCCACCCCCTTTAAGTTCTTGTTTATGCTTTATTCGTTTATATTAATTTCAAAAGATTCCATGTCTCTTCCTTGACTCACTGGCTGCTTCTGTTTATCACTAGAGTACACAGGCCTCAGCGTCTCTTCCTCTCACCAAGATTAAGTTATCAGATGACTTTTGCCTACTGTGGCCCGGCGCTTCCAGGGAGTAGATCACACCAACCCGGGCTCAGGAGACCGACCAGAGATGAGCTTGTTGGATTCCCTACCCGGGCCCAGCCTCTGGGGGTGCGCTCCTGAGGGTGCTTTCCAGGGAGCGGAGGGATGGAAAAGGACCTTACGTATCTCCAGCTTCCACTGACCGGCTACTAACACTCCCTCCCAATAAAAGACTATGAAAGAAGAGTGATAAGGCACAAATTTAAGTATTAGCTTTATGACTTGAACTGCAAAGAGTCTTGCAGGCGCCTACCTGAAATAAAATACGTAGAAGCTAATATTTGTTTTGCTAAGAGATACTTCCGTAAGTCATAGTTCCTTTTTTTTTTTTTTTGTTTGAAGTGTGAGTTTGGATGGTTTCCTATACTTTATGGTTTATTATTTAAGGGTTACATCTTGATTTCCCAAAGCAAGATTTTGGGTTCACTGATGTGTTATCTTCTGTTTAGTTAAAATCATATATACAGGACACTTACGTGTACAAATGAGAAACCAGATAACTGAATGGCCCCACCTAGTAACAAGGGGTATTTTGTTAATTAGTTATTAGTTATAATTAGATCCCAGCACTGAAGTATCTCTAAATTACTTTTTTCCTTTAATTAAAGGCTTCAGCATTTTTGCAACCTGTCATTGACTTACTATCCAGAAGCGATTTGCTGATTTTGTGTTTAGTTTGCTTATTCATTAAATAAATAATATCCATGCTCTATAAATAAACATTATATCAATTTACACAGACAAGTAAAAGAATGTTAAAGTACAAATCAAAACACCTGGATTTTAGGTGGCCCAACTAAGAGCTCTCTGACCTTGATAAGTCACTAAAACTATCTTGGTTTTTTCTCTATGAGATATTTCAGCTCTAAAATTCTCCAATTTTTAGTCATAACAAAAACTATATTTAGCTATAGAATTACAATAGTCCTTTTTGTGTTAATTTTACAAAGTTTAAACATTTGTTATCACTATTTTCTGACAAGGTAATGTAACTTTCATGAAGCCAGTGGTTTTAGACACTTTTGGCCATGACCATAGAAAGAAATGTAGTTTACATTGTGACCCAGTAAAATGTTCATGATTCAATACTTAATATATGTGACAGCCCTGATATTTTCTATCCTATTTGTTTCCTGTTTTGGGCTTCTTTTCCCAAATAATGGTCAGGATCCACCTCATTAATTTTCAGAGTCAGTACCCTCACTCTGACAAACATTGACTGGAGAGTATATAATAAGGTTTACATTTCTTGGATTCTAGATAAGTTGAGTTCTGATTAATAAGGATCTCCCAATACACTCTAAGACAAAGTTTCTCAAAGTGTGTCCTGAAATGCTAAATGTTTTCTTTGGTCCTCACACTGATGTGACCCTAGGTTGCTTTTGTGTCACGCTTTATCCTATGAGGAACACACCTGGAGAAATACCAATATAAACACTATTAAATTAAAATAAACTTTTAGTTGGATAGGTGAATCTTACAAAATGAGATAGGTTCAGCCTCAGTTTTCTTACCGCTAAAATCGATATAATAATACTGCTTTTGTAAAATATTCGCGCTAATTAATATAACCTTGCACGTAAATAACATAGCGAAGGCTGAAATGAATTTTTTTTTACATGACACTGTACAGCATAGGTACAGATGGCTCACTGACAATGAAACATGGAAAGCTCTAAGAGAGGTAGGAAAATATAAACAGCAAAAATAACATTTTAATTTACCAGATAGTGTTAGTAATCAAAAGCAAAGAAGTCACTGAGTTCCTTCCACAAACTGCCCGCTCTCGGCCTGCCGCGCGTCGGACCCAGCCCTGCTGGCCCCTGCACCTGTCCTTGCCGGGGCTCCTGTGCTGTTTCCCGCACGCGGGACCATACAGTGGCTCATCCTGACTTCTCAGTCTGCCATGTCCTTCTCCCTTTCCACAGGCAAAGAACACACTACAGAAGATGCTAACAGATACTCCACAAAAATGCTAAACCAATGCTTGTGCTATGTTTTCTTCCAAAATATGTTTTAAATAGTGGCAACGTGAGAAATGTCCAACGTATAGAGAATTTTTATGAGTTTATTTGAGCCAAACTGATGACAATTGCCAGGAAGCAAAATCTCGGTGGATGGAGAAAATACTCTGGAGAATGGCAATTTTTGCAGCTTATTGTATACATTAGAATAAAAGGAGCAGACAAAATGAGGGTTGTGTGAAATCCACCGGTAGTAGCTTAAGGGGATGGGAGAAAGCAAAGCAGGGGAATCTCTGGGATTGGGTAAAAAGGCAAAATAGAGAGATACATACTTCTTTTACACTGGTGGGGACAGGGTACTTAATTAACATTTACAGCACATAGAGATGGTACTAGGGAACCAGGGAACAACGAGGGGTTCTGTGGTCTTGTGCTTTTGGTGGTGGAGAGGGGGAGGGTTGCCCTGAGGGATTTGGAAAAGATTACTCTGATATTTCAAAGGTATGTTATCTCAGATGCAAAACAAAACAACCAAAAACAGTAGGCTCACTTAAAGTAAAGGTTAACCTTTCTCAAGGAAGCAATAACCTAGGACGTGACTACCACCATGACTCACTGTTCGGAATTTTTAGTGCAGACTATCCTGTGCAGTTACTTTCAGCCTCTGAGTGTTTAAGGCCCTCCATGCAGGCCTCCCTTGAGCTTGTCAGGTTTAGTATGGGGCCCCTTTTTTGTCTACAGTAGAAAAATGATTTTAAAAGTAATCACATGTATGTAGTCTTGCTAATTGTGAAATCACCCCCTTTAAACTAGAGTTTCAGGGAGTCAGTTAATGCAGGGATCCTTGACCTCTGGGCTGTGGACAGGTACCGGTCCAGGCCTATTAGGAACTGGGCCGCACAGCAGGAGGTGAGCTTGAATGTAATGCACTTGATTCATCCTGAAACCACCCCCTCCTCTTCCACAAAACTGGTCCCTGGTGCCAAAAGTTTGGGGACCGCTGAATTGATGTATGGACATTTTAACCTGTGCATCCTTTTATTGGCAGCAATTAACTAAGCAGGGAGCTGTGTGTGTGTGTGTGTGTGTGTGTGTGTGTGTGTGTGTGTGTGTTCCGTTTAAGGGTAAACTGTTCAATGTTGTATATTTTGTCATAATTTGACATTTTAAGGCCCAATGTTTCTTGTGTATTAAACATATAATGAAAATTCTTGCAGCAAAGAATTTGTTTGTGTGTTGCTGTTTCTGATGTTTACCTTTCCCAGTTCTTTAAGACTTTATTTTTTACAGCAGTTTAAGGTTCATAGCAGAATTGAGGAGACACAGATTTACAATAGACTTCTATCCCCAGGTACGAATCACCTCCCCTACTATAAGCATTACCCAAAAAGTAAGAAAAGAGTGCTACATTTGTTATAATTTAACCTACATTGACACATTGTAATCAAATCCATAGTTTGTATTATGGTTCACTTGTTTTTGTACATTCTATGAGTTTGGACAAATGTATAATGACATGTGCCAATCATAGAATCATACAGTGTTTTCACAGCCCTAAAAATCCTCTGCACTCTACCTGTTCATCCTTCCCACCCGCCAAACCCAGCAACCACTGACCTTTTTAACTGTTTTCATAGTTTTGCCTTTTCTGCAATGTCATATAGTTGGAATTACACAGTATGTAGCCATTTCAGATTGCCTTCTTTCACTTATTAATATGCAT